GAGGGAGGGAGGGAGGGAGGGAGGGAGGGAAGGAGGGAAGGAGGGAGACAGGGAAGAAAATAGAGTAGTGCTTGAAACACAGTAAGTACTCAATAATAGCTAGTAATTACTATCATTTTTAGTTACAAGTAGTTAAGCCAAAATAACTAAAGGAACTAAATATGATTTTAATAGAGATAAATAAGTATATGAAGAAGAAACTGTGGTTTCTACGTTATTTCCTCTTAAATAGGAAGTATACACTTCTAAAAGAGACAGTGAAGACACAGCACTTGAACAAGGCCAACAGAAGTTGTTTTTCATTTTGAAGCAAGATTGCAGTTATAAACAGTTACGTGACTTTTTCATAAACACATATACTTTTTATAAACACAGTTATAGGGTATGAAGTCTTATTTACTTAAAGATTTCTCTACTGTATTTGTAATGTTTCACAAGATTATTAACTTTGATGATAAAAGTCACAGGAACCCACTTAGTTCATTTTGTTGAGTAGTTAAATGTCCTAAGACACAGTTTATGAATTGATCATTCATAAGCAATAAGTATTTGTGACTGGAATATTTTAGTATTTTCATTAAACCTGCAATACTGAAAAATGGCTTTAATTGAAATAGCACAGAAGGCTGGGTGTGGTGGCTCATGCCTGTAATCCCAGCACTTTGGGAGGCTGAGGCGGTGGATCACTTGAGGTCAGAAGTTCAATACCAGCCTGATCAACATGGAGAAACCCCGTCTCTGCTAAAAATACAAAATTAGCCAGGAATGGTGATACATGCCTGTAATTCTAGCTATTCGGGAGGCTGAGGCAGAGAATTGCAAGAATCACTTGAACCTGGGAGCCGGAGGTTGCTGTGAGCCGAGATCACACCATTGTACTCCAGCCTGGGCAACAAGGGTAAAACTCCATCGGTGGGAGGGGAGGAAGAAATAGCACAAAAAAATGGGCAAATATCCCAAGTTTTTGAAAGAAGAATTACTTATGATTAGTTCTATTTAATTTTGTTATACATAGTATTCTATTTCTAAAATCAGGAAACAAGGCAAGGCATGGTGGATCACACCTGTAATCCAGCACTTTGGGAGGCCAAGGTGGGTGGATTGTTTGAGTTCAGGAATTTGAGACATGGCGAAGCCCTGTCTCTACAAAAAGTACAAAAATTAGTCCGGCATGGTGGCGTGAGCCCCTAATCCCAGGTACTCAGGAAGGCTAAGGTGGGAGGATCACTTGAGTCCAGGAAGTTGAGGCTGCAGTGAGCCAAGATCACATTACTACACTCTAGCCTGGGTGACAGAGCAAGACCCTGTCTCAAAACCAAAAAGAAAGAAACAAAATACAATGTTTTACTGGTAACACCAGCAAGGTGGCTGAAGAACACAGATTTCAAAACACTGACTAGCTATGGAATTAAATGCAAAAATTCTGCTCCTAAATCTTTTCTATAAAAAATAATTTTTACACTGATTAAATGTACCACTGTAACATATGATTACAATAAAACTGCATTAATAGGTTATATATAGAATAGTTTACAAAAGCCAAAAATGCAAGCTGCTCTTTAAAATACTTCTTTAGATATAGATACTTAGATATATCTGAATATGCAGTATTATACTTAAACAGAGGCAAAGTGAGGTATGACCAAATTCTACCTAAGAGCTTAAAATGATAAAAAAAAATTTTAGAGACACACAGTTAACAAATGAGATAAAGCATTTGAATGATGCTGCTACCCATCGTACCAGCTACAAATACTAAATCTGTAACCAGCAAGTACCCTTTGGGATGTATGTAACACAGGACCTAACACAGATTTATTACATGACTAGTAAGAGATTCATCGCACTCAAAATTCACCTGTAAATTTTGTTCCTTGATGCTCTGAAATTCTGTCAATATTAGATTAACAAGTAAATATTAATTAAAATATCTAAGTCCTTTGTTTGAAATACCCATTAGATCAAGTCGACAATTACAAAACATGTCTGTGCAACAACACTCCTGCCCCACAGAAAGTATGTGCAAAAGGGTTCAATATATTTGTTTTTTGTTTTATTTTGTTTTATTTGAGATAGCATCTCAATCCTGTTGCCCAGGCTGGAGTGCAGTGGCTCGATTACAACTCATTGCAGCCTCCATTCCCAGGCTCAGGTGATTCCCTCACATCATTTTATACAAAACGATACATCCTTCTAGGTGCCATCCTAAGTCTAGAAATCTCATAAATGTTACTAAGATCAAATTGCTTCTTCTGTATATAATAAAATGTTTCTACTACTGACATGTAATCCTTTTTAATCTTTTTAATGCATATGCAATCATATTGCTGTTTATCTCATTAAAACTAATGGCTACTATATATATAGGAGTAGGAAAAGAATAAGAAAATGAGTTTTCTGAAAAAACTCAAAAGGAATTAAGCAGGTTGAGAATGCAGAATTCTGGCTGGGCATGATAGCTCAGACCTGTAATCCCAACACTTTGGGAGTCCGGGTCAGGTCAATAGCTTGAGTCCTGGAGTTCAAGACCAGCCTGGACAACAGAGCAAAACCCTGTTTCTTCTAAAAATACAAAAAATAGCCAGGTGTAGCAGCTGGAGTCTGTAGTCCCAGCTACTTGGAAGCTGAAGTGAGGGAATCACCTGAGCCTGGGAATGGAGGCTGCAGTGAGTTGTGATTGAGCACTCCAGCCTGGGCAACAGGATTAAGACCCTATCTCAAACTAAACAAAATAAAACAAAAAAAAAAGACAATGCATAATTCTGAAGTTCACAATCAAACTAAATTCTAATTATTTAATAAATCTCCATAGGGCTACACATTAAAAACTGTCAAGTTATACTAAGGTACTACATGCATCCTCCACTTGCCAAAATCCACTTCCACTACTAATTTGATTAAACAAAATTCATAATGTAATATTTATTTTATGCAACCAAAACAATCACTTCTCAGCAAAACGACAGCAGTCAGCTATAAATTACTCAGATTGATTATAATTTAATAAGTTATAAATCAATGATTGATTATATCGTCTCTCTATATTGCAATGGGGACACTGGGAAAAGAGGTACATGCTTTTATCTTTAAAGATAAGATGTCTACTGACATGATCTGTGTTGAGAATCAAACCAAAAATAAGTTGGACCAACCATGTTTAGACAATTATTATGTAAAACATTTTTGATAATAGGTATATGGCGTATTTAACAATGGGAAAAAATCAATTCCTATGCATCTAAGG